CACAGTGTGCGTTACCTGTTGTGCCAATTAACTCTGTTTACATCCAGTCACGCTTTCCCATCGGAGCAACTACCTTAATTTTTGTGCCAGCGCGGGATTAAATGCTGCGTTTTCGTCTCCACTGGTAGGTAATATCTTGATTAACTTAATAATGATAAACGTAAGCCTTGATTCGTGTCGCGTTTTTCTTATAGCAATGTTCAAATCAAAGACGGCGGCGGCATCAAAGAAAGAACAACAACCCACAACACGTAGAGGTATGCAATTAAAAAATGCTGTATTTTTTATTTTTAAATTGTCTCCAAATTCATAACGAGGTCAGGGGCACGTTGTCTACATTTATCTGTAGCAACCCAAATTTAGCTAACCCTCTCATTGTGTAAACCTGTTTCCTTTACAAAAAAGAAACACATTTCTCAAGGACACGTGGAGTAGTCTAATGCCCGAAAATTGGTCAATAAACGGAAAGAAGGACACCATGAAAAATGGTATGCATGTTTAACTTCACTTTTACTTCAAATTGAAACTCTTACAATTGAGAAATTGAGATGTATAACCATTCTCTCTTTCTCTTTCTCTTTCAGGGACCAAGATGCAGAATGAATTGGAGTTGTACCCATTGGTCTGTCCAAACCCTTGTGTGTAGAAGACTTGCAATGATGATATTAATTGGATTTGTTCATGTTGTGTTTTAGAAAGATTTATAGGATAGTTATAGTGTCTATTATGGATTATACAAGCATTGTGAGAAGACTTTTATGTTCTTAATGTTTTGAGTTTCATATTTTACCAAGTGTTAGAACCTAGTGATACTTTTAAGCAGTGTACAAATGTTGGTGTTGCTGTTTTTAAGATTGGTGGTGTTTATAATAGAAAAGGTATTGCATTGCATTACATGAAAATAGAGGGGGACTAATTAATATTGATTGTTTGTAATAAATTCATATTTGTGAGTGTGACATATTTACACGATACACTATAACGTACAGCCTTAAAACAGCACAGATTTAAAAAAAAATAAAAAAAACTCAATTTTCAGTCAAAGAATGGTATTTAATTTAATGGTCTCTGCATGTTTCTTAATTACACAGACAAAACATGTAATTTCAGATTACACTTTAAACATTTCATTGTATTGTATGGTCAATGTACCATTTATCATGTTGCTGTGTAAACATGTTACTTCAGTTCTTGGTGTATCACCATTATTCCCATTAATGGCAAACGTTTGGCACCCTGTGCTGCCATGCATTGCACCTTTTTTTTAACGTGTTTTTTTTTTTTACAGTGTACATGAAAGCAGCCATTCCTTGTGTGTTATTCAATATATTGTAATATATTTACACAACATATTATTCTTTATCATTTCTAATATACCGTTATCTCATTTAATATATTGAGCATTCATAGATTAGGAAATATATTTTCTTTGTGTAAGGGAAGGCATAGTAAACATGGCCTGCTCTGGTACTTGCTGAGCTGCAGCGTTCAACTTAAAGTAATGCAGTCTAATAATGGAATGCAATACAATGTACTGTAATGCAATATAATGTTATGAGCTACAAATGAAAATGAATTGAATGTGAAATGAATTGTTGTGCTATTTAAGGTTTATTAAACTGTGTAGAGTCATTCGACTCCACTTCAGAGGTCAATGTGTAAATTAATTATCGCCCCCTTGTGTCCTTAAGAGGTTGCTGCAGCGAGATAAACCATGAAATTCTTAAACCGAGTAAAAGATCTTAGACCACATTCATTTGAGAGAAAAAAAAAGTTATATCATCACATTTTGAGGAACAGGACTGCGCAACAGTTTTCTCTATTTCTGTTTTATCACGTGATAGAAAGTCTAAGGCCTTCTTAAGCCGTACGGCTGACTTATCTAATCAGCAACAAATCAACCTTCCTTTAGCAACTTCCCCTGAAAATTAGTTGGCAACACTGCACAGTGTGCGTTACCTGTTGTGCCAATTAACTTTTAAACTTCTTAAATCAATTGTTTTAATCATTTTCAATGTTTTTAAATTCCTTGTTTTATTGTTGTGATTATTTTTTTTCTTTTCTTTTATGTAAAGCACTTTGAATTACCATTGTGTATGAAATGTGCTATACAAATAAACTTGCCTTGCCTTGCCTGCCTTGCCTTGCCTTGCAACAAGTTTTCAAACGGGTATCATGTTATATGAGATTCATGTTCAGGCTTTTGTGAGAAATCCCTTTGAATCGCAATTTCCATTCAAGAGCATTTCTCAACGAAATGGACTTTGACTGAGGTGGCGAGTGCCCGGCCCGCACATCTTTTCTTCTGCGGCTTTAGCGGATTTCAGTGACAGCAGTGCGAACATGTCGGGACATGCCTGTGTGTCCCAGCGCGCAGCGCCCTGTAGCGCACCGGGCAAATGTGCCAGTCGACTTCAACCGCAAGCGAAACTGGACCGAATTTGCCCAAAGCCACAGAAGACGATTACTTTAATGGGACAGAGAATTAAGTGACTGCTGAGATTTGCCCCTGTTGCAATGTAAGTGTGGATGAAACTGTCCTTAATACGTGACTTTACAGGAGATTCATGATAGCGGTGCATTGCTCTCTAGCAGTGCGCCCTAACGTTACTTAGTTCAGTTTGACCACTTTTCACTTTTCTTGTATTTTATGCCTCAATTAGATTATTCCCAACAGATCATTTAACTGAGGTATTTTTGTATTAGATGGCACCTCGATGTGTGCTCTCGCTTGATCTGAGATCTGGAATGGATGAAAATGAATGGACATTAATCTTTATTATTGAAACGAACGTAAATAGCTGACTGTAGCCTATATACATTGCAAGAAACTAGCGAAAGCTTTTTCCTTCTTAAATTTTTTTTTGCTAATAATTCGCTTTAGTGAAATTGACTGTAAATTCTAAACAAAATAATCTACTATCTATCTAATCTATCTAATATTTTTTTAAACAGAGGCTGACCTAAAACTATTATTAGATCGTATGCTAGATCGTTTTTTGAATTTTTAATTCTTACTAATACGGACTGGGAAATTATTCGTTTTTGCAGATTCTGTTCAAGCAGTTGTCTAATGTATTATGTTTTTGTACTTTAAAAACTAACCTAAAATCAAACGTTTGGGGCATAACGTTAAACAGGTTTAGAAATATTTAGTTGTAGCTAAACTGTTGCATTTAAAATGTACATTTAAAAATAATAACAAAAATGTAAATAAATCCATAGATAGGCTAGCCTATATTTAAGTTATATCTAGATCGAATTTAACCTTGAGCTTTGATTTTTAAATTAATTTTAATTCAGTGATTACTTCTAAGAAGTACACTGTAAAAAAATGGCAGCTATAGTTGCCAGAACTTTACTGTAAAATGTATACAGTATAAGATAATATAGATGATACAATAGAAAGCCACATAAAGAATCAGAGTACATGGCAGTGGCATGAAACATGGTCTATATTTGTGTATAGACAGTGTGCAGGGTCACACACACAACACTTAAATAATTCAATAAACATGAATTAAATAACAGAAAATGTAACACAAATGTACCAAATGTACATTGCTGATAACAAAAATAAGATTTTTTTTTAAATAAAATATAATTTTATTTGAAGTGTCATCCAGGGATTTCTGTGAATGTCCTTTTACTGTTTTTCACCATAAATTAAAATAGTTTTTATTCCCAAAACCATAAATTTGACAGTATTTTACGGTAAAATGGCATAATTTTAAGTTCATTTACACTTTTTCCCTGGATACTTACTGCCGATTAACAATTAAGAACTTCACTGGCAGTATATGATATTTTACATTCAGATCTCATAGTTTTGAATTGGTGTGTATTGTAAGCCAATATTGCATGCTATATGATTTAACTCTTTTTTTCCCCCCCTTCTCTTAGATATGGAATGGATTGCTCGATGGACGAATATTACAATGGTGGACAATGTCACAAGTGCCCACAATGTCCACCTGGCCAAGAACTGAAAGAGGTGAGAGAAAGAGCGATATTGTGTGTGAGTGAGCAAGAGAAATGCCCTGCTGTGTATCCATAATTTCAGGATTACTGTAAAGCAAACATTTGAAAAGTCATTCACTTTATTAATCAACATTTGAGAAGCCCAGAGGCTGTGTGAAGAAAACAAGACCTATAAATAACCGTCACTTATTTTTAAACGCATTTAGATAAACTAGCATATGAATCCCAGCAGTCAAAGTCAGCAACCTGTTTGACTGACTTTGTAAGACAATATATAAGTAGATACTGTTGTATTTATAAATATTTGATTATGCAGTGAATGTTTATCCTGCTGGAGGTGGGAACAGCTTCGACAAGTGGGGACACCAGCTTCTAAAGTTTGCTGGTCTTAGCTGGTGCTCAGTTGGTATAGCTGGTCAGCAAACTGCTCTCCCAGCCTGAAAGCCCAGCTGAAAACCCCAGCCCGACAAATCTGGAAGACTAACTAAGGCCAGCAAATCAGCCTATAGACTGGTTTATGCAGTTGTTTTTGACAAGTTAATCCAAATATTCCCATATAGTTTCTAATTTTGGCTAGTTTATCAGGTTATTTTGTAGCAACTGTTGGACTGATGGTTTAGTAGTCCTTGACATACAACTTAAGGATAAAATTAATTTTTCCATTTATAATTTCTAAGCTATTTAATAGCTACATTATCAATATTTTGATCGACAGTGTGTGTGTGTATAAACCATAGAATATATTAATAAAACACAGAAAAGTATTGATAATGTTACTTTTTTTTTTTTCAAATAATTGATTAAAATTGGCAGAGCCCCAAATTGTGGACTATGTAAACATGCTGTAGTATCATATCCCTGCCACCAGAGGCTTACACATGACCTTAAATGACTTGCAAACAGGGCAAGGTTACAAAAGCTGTGTTCTCAGAAAAAAATGGACACATCCAATGTACTTATCGTGTTACTGATTATGTTTGTGTGCTTGTGGGAGATTAGGACTGTGGTTATGGTGTAGGAGTGTCGGCAGTGTGTGACGTATGTGAAGTTCGGTGGTTTAAGGAAGTCTGGGGTTCTCACCCTTGCGCAATGTGCCAGAACTGCCGCAGACTCAACAGACACCAAACCAAGCACTGCACTCACACAGACAATGCAGTGTGTGGAAACTGCCTCCCTGGGTGAGACTTTCTCACACATACACACAAAACAACCTTTATGACATATGACGTTTATAACTGATAATTGTGATCAACCCACACACGACTGATTGCGTGAAACTTCACACCCAAAACTTCATAGACTCACACACACACACACACCTGTATCCTGGTTTTCAAACCGAAACCTTTTTTTTCTCTAATGAAAGTTTCTACAGCAAAATGCGACTGGATAGACAAGAAGATTTGGAATGCCTTCCATGTGGCCCCGCACCCTTCAGAAACATACAATGTAGCCGTGAGTACCATACTGATAAATACAACTTACACCAGCATGACTGAGTCCGAGCACGGTGTCAAGTTAAAAGCGTGTCTCCAGACCCCTTGTGTTCTGTTCAGTTCTGTTTTGCTTCATCCAGCTGTTTTTGAACAAAATGCATTCTATTTAACTGCCCCATAAGCAGAGCTCAATCAGAGAGGGCAACCCTCTACGGACACCTTGGCAATTGAATCACCACTGGCTAGTAAATTTTGTTGTTTACTCGCCAGACCGAAATACTATACTATACTATACTATATATATATATATAAAGCTGTACCATTTTACAAACATATATGTTGTAAAATGGCACAGCTTTTTAAATATCTGAAAGTACACTCTTAACATCAAGCAGTCAAGCATTATAATATGGCAATCAAGTATAGAGTGTAAATGGAGAGAGATGTTGCGGGCACGACGCTAAGTTGTGGCAGGCGCGACGCTTTGGTGCTGTGCACGCTGTTATGCATTTAAAGGGAGGAATAAAACATATGTTATGTGGCAAATAGGTTATTAATTGTAGAAATGCACTGTTTGTTTGTTTGTTTATATGCACAGCCCTCTACGAACACCTTGGCAATTGAATCAACAGCACAGATCGCTCGGCGGAGAGTGAAACTGATGCGCTCAGTCAGAGAGTGTTCGGCGAGTGAAAATATATCTGTGCTAAACTTATACTTAGCCTCCAACTCACACACTGGCGAGTAAAATCTGAGAATTTATTAGCAATTGGCTAATATTAGACATCATTTAGTCGCCCAGAGTGAATATTTAGTCGCATATGCGAGTGATTTACTCGCAATGTAGAGGGTTGATGCATCAATCGGAGTGTAAATGGAGAGAGATGTTGAAGCAGGCGCGACGTCTCGGTGCTGCGTGCGCCATTATGCTTTTAAAGGGAGGAAATCAATTGAAAACGCTCTCTCCACTGAGCTTGCTTATTTGCGGCATTATCTTATGGTTAATCCTCTCTTTAAATCCATAATGGAGCGCACAGCACCTGAGCGTCGCACCACCTGTTCGCAATAGCGGTGACGAGTCGCGAGGCAAGCGCATTCAGCGGGCAGGGTAACGTGGCAGGTCAAGTGGCAGGCGCACATAGCGGTGGCAGGTCGAGTGGCAGGCGCATTTAGCGGTGGCAAGTCGAGTGGCAGGTCGAGTGGCAGCTGCCACTGGCAGGCGCAAAGATTTTACCCTTACTCAAATTCTGTCATCATTTATTCACCCTCAGGTAGGAGTGTAACGATTTGCTCGTTTTCTCAATGCATTGATTACAAACCCTGACGATGCATATGCATTGATCTTGAAACATGGATTTTTGAATCATGAATTGTTGATTTCGGCCAATAATCGATTTAAAACGCTAAGAATTGAACGAATCACGATTTCAATGCTTAAAAAAAATGCGTTCGTTATTAGAGCAAACAGACATCGGGTGCATATACTTTTAGAATCATCATTCGCCGATAGAAATGTTAAAAACTGTGGCATTTTATTTTATGAAAATAAGATTAAGAAACTCTCATCATTCAAAGGTGTGTCATAAAATGTTACCCTATAGCCCAGTACACGGTATACATGAAATAATACTTTTAAAGCCTTTTTTTTTTTTTTTTAATCTTGGCTATACCCTAGTGAAAAATAAATATACTAAAATGTATTTGAAATAAATTTATTTCATGCTAAGTATAGCCTACTACAAATAAATTTACATATTTATGTACTTAATAAAAATACCCTGCAATTGTACTTTTAGTTGCCTATACTAAACTGGTATAAATTGTGCCAAATTGGAAGTAGTGCTGAAGTTCAACTAAAGATGAACTGAAGTATATTTGATTGTGCTTAAGTAGAACTATTGCAAGTATACTTCAGGTACACTTTAAATATCTTGCATTTAAATACATTTATTATTAAAATATCATACAACCCTCATCATTAGTGACATTAAAACACATTTTTGGCTTAATATTAAAGTAACTCCAAATAAAGTTTAATTCGACTTTTTATATCAGTAAGTCTCGAGTGATGCAGTAAATATGTTAATAGATTAGTTTGAAATAAATGTAGGCAATTTTAAATATATTACTTTTTACTAGGGTAAATTTCTACATATGCCATATGTCATGCCATAGCATCATTAAACTATCATCTAACAATGGAAAAGTTTTTTTTGTTTGTTTGTTTGCCCTCTCTGACTTCATAAAGGCTGCTGTGTAATTTGCCCCCTGAGTAAGCATTTAAAGAATTTAGGGGAAGCGTTTAAATAATACTGTGAATGCACTTAAAGAATGCACAACCGTTAATTAAATCGCATATCATTTAATTGTGAATCGCCTCGAATTGAATCGTTCTGAATTTGCAAAAATCGTTCTTGAATCGCATCAAAACCTTATGGATCGTGAATCGAATCGATTCGCTGTTTACCCAATGATTCACAGCCCTACCCTCAGGTTGTTCCAAACCCGTTTGAGAGATTCCTTCTTCTGCACATAACAAAAGGAGGTCATTTTAATGAGTATCCATTTGGGTGAATTCAATAAAATGGCAGTAGATCAAAGCACCTGAGATTGTGGAAAAAGCTTGTGTGGTTTGATGATAATTTTGTAATTGCTAAACATTTCAAGTGAAAAACAACCTGATATTTAAGCCATCCATCTTATTTTTAACATTAAAGTAAGTTTCACAGCCTGTATTTTTTCAGCACCCATGTTAAAAGAATAGTTCACGCAAAAATGAAAATGAGCATGCACACAGAAACGCGCCTCTCAGACAGCGCAGAAGTACTGAATTCAGTTCTTTTCGTGTCTTATCGCACATGAACAGAGATATACACACAGAATGATGTCTGTGAATTGTCTGTTTTGATGAGTATTCACGTAAACACACTTGGTTATGTGAACAGAAGCAGTTGGGAGAATATCAGATGTGTATCAGTATATTGCATCCGTGCATTCGGTTTTAAGTGGACAGCATGTTAATCAAGCAACAAAAGAAAGAGAGAAAATCTTTCATGCTTAAAGACACTTTCTTCACATTTTCATCCTCTAAAATTTGTGGTACTCTCTTCACCCCTGCTCGCACTCATTCTTTCCATGCTCTTATCTGAGCTTCAGTACTTTTACTCCTTTTCTCACTGTTTTATCTCTATTCTCTTTATTCTCTCAACGTGATTACGGGTTAAGTAAGGGAGAAGGTATTTATCCAGCAAGGATCAGTCATTGCTCTTTGAAAGTGCTCAGCATGGACTGAGGGTCGATCCTCCCTGAACCCACTTCATCATGGATTGACAGAGGTCTTTTAGCATTCTGCTGATCAGATACACCACCAGCAACAGGAAGAGGGGTGCTTAGAAAAAAGGGAAGGCAACAGAATAAGGCAGCTGCGGTTGTTGTGTTTTTAAAAGCAAGACTCATTAAGATTTGCCGTGCTATTGATTCATATCCTTATAGTTGTTGATGAGTGCAGGTTCTAAAAACTTTGGAATCTGTTGATTGTGTTTTAAAAGAATAGTTTACATAGACAAGAAAATTCCATCAGGATTTATTCACTCTCATGTCATTCCAAACCTATATCGTGCTTATTTTAAGTGGAACACTAAGAAGAATTTCTTGAAGAATATGAAAAAATTGTGATCATGTTTGTTAAGCTTCAAAAAAAAAAGTAGTTTATTGGACTTGTGTGTTATATTTCAAGTCTTCTGCAGCCACACAATTTATGTAATGAAATGGAGTTGTTAATGACTAATAATAATCTTCCTCTCCAGTGATCATTGAGTCAGTGAGTCACCTGAGAACTGAATCTTTAAACAAATCATTCTTTTGACCACTGATTTTTTTTTTCAATTGTCTGTTTCATATAAATCAGTCTGATTAATGTTTTTACTATTTACTGACATAGTAAAAGACCCAAAACATACAACCTTCAAAGTGCTTAATTACCAAACCAAATAAATAAATACAATTACTGAATTCAACAACAGAAAGAAAGAGTAAATAATGACAGAATTTTAGAATGAAAGTTGATCTTGGTAGTATGTGTTCTAACTGATTCTTCCATTTTTAGGTGAAGGGGGGACTGGTGTTGCAAAAGCCCAGACCTCAGCACCTCCCATCCAAAATGTATCGTCCATATTGACTGCTTGTGCAGCAACAGCTATATTAACAACCATCCTATTTACAATTGTGTGTGTCACCTACCAGACACGGTCTTCACTCCGGAAAACATGCAAACGTATGAATATACATGCACTGAATATACAGTACATACAACAGTAATCCACTAAACCACTAGGTGTGGCTTAAAACATAAATGTAACTCACATTTCATTCAACCTCTACTCTCAGGTTGTTTATCACCAGTCAGTAACAGTCATCGTGACAGTGATGCAGCTTCGGTTCCAATGACAACCCTGCACACAGTGATGCAGGACGCAGAAGCGGACACATCAAGTAAGTGTGCATGACAGGCTTTGAGTTACAGCTTGATTACAGACACAATGAGAATGTGATGTAAAAAAAAAAAAACAATTCCGCCTATACACCACATGGCAAAAAAAAATCACTTTCAAAAAGAGATTCAAGCTATCCGCAATCCGCCATTTTCTCTGTTTTCACAATGGCTTTTCAAATGTGTTTCAGAAGAGTAGAAAAGAATAATTCATATTTTTAACTAGACCACAAAAGATGATTTAAAAAAAATGTCCAGCATGCTCGTCCATATAAAGGCAGTGGATAGAGATTAGCATCAAGTTTTCAAAAATAGATGAAAAAATATCACAGAATTAGGGATGCAACGAAATGAAAATTATTGGCCAAAACCGAACAAAAGGAAACACTGGGCCAAAGGTTGGATACCGAACATGGTTTTTCGCATTTTTTCCCCATGTATTTTGCCATTTTCTTTCACCAATACATAAATTAAATAGCCAAAATGTGCTTTTTACTGTTTTGTCTTGTTTTTCAAAGAAAAAATCAATTAAAAAACAATCATTTCAAAATATTTACTTAACACTGAACGTTTTCTAACATTTTAGCAGACATTATACCAACAAAGCACAATTTAACTTAAAATTAATAAGTTAGTAAAATAATATTCTTGGGCCATTTTTGAGACTTGAATCAGGCATGTATTTTTTTTACTGTACAAATAAAAGCAGCCTTGCTGAGCAGGAGAGGATTCTTTTAAAACATTAGAATATATTACAGATCCCAATTTGAACACTATGTGTGAATGTTATAATAAATGTATTAATAGAGCTGTTGTAATCATTATTATTGTCTTTTTTATTTTATTTTACAGAACAACAGTAAAATTACAATACTAACATTTATGAATGTCGATGGAATTCTTGCTTTTTCTCAGCTTTTATTTTGGCAGAAACCCGCAGGAAGTTTTATAAATGATTCTCATTACGAGTTTGGGAAGATGTTTGTCGCACGTATCGCATTGTCACATGCCTTTAAAAATTTTCATAAATTCAAAAAAATGTTACGGAGCAACTGACTGTTTCAGCACATATTTTCCTCTCGCTTTGGACTTTGAACCCTGGCAAACAAGCAGATAGAGCCGCGAGCTTGTGCAGCGCTGTCAGAATACGTGCAATGCGTGCGTATATTAGAAAACATAACATTCTGCAATTTATTTACTAATTGTTTAAGGCCATTTCACGATTTCAATCATCATCAGTAAAAATCAACAACCACCCTTCCTCTTCTCATCGAAGACATGTGATGCAGTACTAAACAGTCTCTCGCTGTCAGTGCTTGTAATGACAGTCTTTCTCTGACAGTTTTAAATATTTCCACACTGCCGACATGTTTGCTGCATTAGTGCCTGTTATCATTATCATGTGCGTGTAACATCATTGTTCGGTACAATTTATTTTTGTCTTTTTGCTGATCATGCAATACACCGAAAGAGCTTTTTTTTTTTTTTTTGCTATTGTTGGCCGAATAATTTCGGTTGCCGAACATTTGGTGCATCCCTACACAGAATGGTCCCATACATCATGTGCCATATATTCCAAGTGTTCTGGGGGTATATGACAGGGTTTGGTGAAAACCAAACCTAAATTTAATGTATTATTTATAGTGCTGGGTAACGATTAATCACGATTAATCGCATTCAAAATAAAAGTTTTTGTGAACATAATATACTGTATATTTGTGTACTGTGTATATTTATTATGTATATATAAAGACACACACATACAGTATATATTTAGAAAATATTTACATGTATTTACATGTTTATATATATAATATTATGCACACAAAAACTTTTATTTTGGATGCGATTAATCGTTGCCCAGCACTAATTATTTAACAACAATTCTGACCTTGGCTGCTGGTCTCTGAAAATGACTTTGTGTTCATTAAATGAAATAATTTACCAACGGGAAAAATTTGCAACTGTATTTCCCATGTCTTAGGAGTTACGAGCCTGTCATATTTAAATAGCAATATTAATTACCAGTCTGCTTTTTCACTCTCGCTGCGTCGGGCATGTAACCTGCCAAAACTCAAATGGAATCGCAATTCCTTTTGCATTTGAATTTCCGATGTCTACATGGAAAGCTGCCAATCATCGTCAGGGGCGGGACTATACTAGGGGGCGTTAAATACATACATAGTAAGCAGGAAAATACTTTTAGATTTGCACTGTGTGTTTGATTAAGTGCATCAAGTGGAGTGCAAACGGTAAAAGGTCTTGAGGCAGGTGTGACACGCTCTCTATTATGGATTAAAAGTGTGAGTGTAAACAGTGAGAGATGCTGAGACAGGTGAAAAGCGGCACGGTCGTCTGTGAGTGACGTCACCTCCCAATACAAACACGCCCCCTAGTATAGTCCCGCCCCTGACGATGATTGGCAGCTTTCCATGTAGATATCGGAAATTCAAATGCAAAAGGAATTGCGATTCCATTTGAGATTTGGCAGGTTACATGCGCAACGCAGCGAGAGTGAAAAAGCAGACTAGTAAATAATATTGCTATTTAAATATGACAGGCTTGTAACTCCTAAGACATTAATGAAGGATTTGCAATTGCATTTGGATTATGTCACAATTTATGCGTCCACATATTGAAAACGCAATTGAAAATACAATTTGCTATTCTATTTGAAAATTGTCCGGAAAATCGTTCCATAAAAATCATCAGTGCTTATAATTACATTATGTGTATTTGTATATTTATTTAAAAGAGAGAAAGAAAGAGATGTGATGATTGTGTGCTTGACTTGTTTGGTCTGTGTCCCGTAAGATCCTTGCCTGCTATTGAAGCACTCCTGCACTCTTAATGACATCACCACCACGATGACCTCTGATCTTGGCCTGCATAGGTGTGAGGTTCTTCCTCTGATGCGAAGCTCGGCCTGCACAGATCCTGGAACGGGAGTCATCATGCAGGCAGCAGAAACACCTGAAGTTTCTTCTTCAGACTCCTCCCTCTCCAGCCAGCATGTCATTCTCACTCTAGTAGGAGGACAGTCTGCAGTGAGGCCCTGCTGTGCCGTAGAGCAGCAAACAGCCTGGGGGCTTCATGCTCCTGTAGAGTGCACTGAACTGGACCTTCAGTATCTCTCCAATGCCCCAGAGCTCCAGACATTCAGACCTTCAGACTTCATAGCCAGAAATATCCCACAGTGCCCTCAGGCCTGATTCTGCAGGACCTGGAGAGAAGAGAGCGAGAAGAGAAAGTGGAAAAGGAGATTGTTAACGTGAAAAGAGATCATAGCTGCAAACGTACGATTATGGTAATGAGACACTTAAAGAATCAACATACACACTCAATACAATTCAACATACACACTCAATACAATATATATATATATATATCATGTGAAGTTCATTGAAATAAGTGTGCTACTGTAGTTGTTTGAGGTTTCTGCAATGTGAGAAACAGGTGCTTATTAGCACAAAAGGACATTAACAGGAGAGAGGCAGAGAAAAAAAAGATCTTAATTTGCCTATAAAGTCGCAATTAACAGAAGTAGCAACAGATGTTTTCTTCAGTATTTTGATGTACATCTGAGTGAACTGGATTATCAAAGAAGGAAAAAAATGTAGAGTGGGACTTAGTTCTATCCATTGGTTGTTGATAGCTTGTTGATCATTCACAAGAAGATCAATAGCATATTTAAAAATGTTGATTTAATTCCGACTTTAATTGAACACATCACCCATTTACATTTAGCGAATAGTTCACACAAAATTAAAATTCTGTCAGTATTTACTCACTCTCGTCAGTCCAAACCTATAAGCTAATATAATTATAATGTCAGAATTTTAATTGAGAAAGAACTGCTTTAAAATTGTTTTTTCATTCAGTGAATGTATAAAAGCTGGAAAGACATGAGGGTAAATAAATGATGACAGAATTCAAATTTCTGTATGAACTACACTACCATTCAAAAGTTTGGGATAAGATTATTTTTCCAAATGAATAAATTTAACAATTTTTTTTTTTTTGTGGATTCTAAATTAATGAAGTTTAGAATCCACAAAAAATATTAAGCAGCACAACTGATTTCAATTTTGATAATAATAATAATAAATTTTTCTTGAGCACCAAATGAACATATTAGAATGATTTCTGAAGGATCATGTGACACTGAAAATTCAGCTTTGCCATCACATATTTCAAATAAATTACATTTTAAAATATATATAAAATGTTTTAAATTGCAATGATATCTCACAGTTACAATTTTTACAGTACTTTTGATCAAATAAATGCCGCCTTGGTGAGCATAAAATAATTATTTCCAAAAGATTAAAAACTCAAACGTTCTGAACATTAGTTCAAATTAGTCCCTTTAAATTACGTAGGTTATAGTATCTGCTCAATGTAAGCTTACTCCTGCTGTCTATAGTCAAAGCCCAGGAAATGGATAATGTCCTCCTGAAACCTCAGTGATGCAGGTCATGTTCTTCATTGGTCTGTGCTTAGTTATAATAATAATAACATAATAATTCATTACATTTATATAGCGCTTTTCTGCTTTTCTAAGCACTCAAAGCGCTCTACATTGTGAGGGGGGATCTCCTCATCCACCACCAGTGTGCAGCATCCACATGGATGATGCGACGGCAGCCATAGTGCGCCAGTACGCCCACCACACACCAGCTTATTGGTGGAGAGGAGACAGAGTGATGAAGCCAATCAGTAGATATGGGGATGATTAGGAGGCCATGATGATCAGAGGCCAATGGGAAAATTTGGCCAGGATGCCGAGGTCACACCTCTACTCTTTTCGAATAACATCCTGGGATTTTTAATGACCACAGAGAGTCAGGACCTCGGTTTAACGTCTCCGAAGGACGGATATAACAACTATACTAGACCTGCTACAAAAGCCATAACTGGACTTTATGGAGACTGCGCTTGATTTTGCTAATCACTGGATTTTTAACTACCACTACTATTACCATTACTGATGACAGCCTCATAGTACCTGATTTGCTGTTTACTTTGCTAAAACTTTTTCGAGTTTTGGACAGAACAGTAGTATGCTGCCGGGCAAACCAAACTGTCTTATGCCTAAACGGTGTCACATTACTAGGCTTTGGCATTGCATTACTACTATAAACCAGCAAAACATAAAACAATTAATTTTATTGTACATTAAATTTAACTGACAGCACGTGTAAAAAGATTATGGGGGAATTCTGGCTATCACAGGTTGTTGCGTGAACCCGCCTTGACTTTAGAATAATTATCCTAATCCTTAAAGCTTCAGGTCTTAGATGTGGCTAAGTGTTTTGCTATTCGGCCCGAATCAGTTTTCTAAAGTGTTTTTGAAAAATCTACATACCCTGCCTTTAAGTATCAAAAATGGAACATGCCACAACACGCGGTATTGTGATATTATTGCCTGTGATAAAGCTTGACATTGTGTCCCTTACATTCCACGTAAATGGGTTTCATCTCAATTAGTTTTTTTTGGCTGTCTTAAATTGAATAAGCACAGGATGTTTTTGAGATTGTTAAATGCATCTCTCCAACACTTTCATAGCCTCTATAGCCCATTAGTGCTGCAGGGCAACAGTATGTGAGCACATGTCAATCAGATTTACCACTTTTTTTTAAAAGCTTTTTATTTTACAGCAGTGCAAAATTGGAGCTAAATTCTAAAGGACCTGTGCACACAGAATATTCCATGCTTCAGGATTTTGACAGGATTTAACAACATTTATCCAAAAACTCAGTTACACAAATTCAAGTACACAACCACTAATGTACAGTAAGTTAACTGCACAGAGGACATGATGTTTTCGATACTCCTAAAATATAATTTAACCTCATTACAATCAGCATGTGCAAACCTGTCTTAAAACACGTGCATTACAGTTCTTTGAAGAAGACTGCAGTTAGTCGCCCGAGGAGCGAGATCTATTGCAAATAGAAGTGTTATCGTGTGGGCTAACGGCGGTTCTTAAGTCATTAGGTGTGTCTGTGAATACACAAAAATGTTTTTGATGTGGTTTGGTGAACAGACGCAGATGGGATGCCACAGGTGCCACAAAAACTGTACAATATTGCAATGGATATTCGGCTTCACTCTGTCCAAACTGGTTTTTATACTCCATATGTGTGGCCCTTACTTCACAGGCTTTGAGCTTGAAAGTATAAAATAATGCAACAAAATGATCATTCTGAAATGAAGATTGATACATTCTTCTCCTATTTTATTCTGGTGACATTAAAGTGCATTTTTAAAAATAACAGCAGTTTTGTTAGATCTAGCCTATTTCCTGAGTAGTTTCAGAGTTGGCATTTTAAGTTGCTGGGAATGAGGCATAGCAATGACCTCTTCAAAACGGACCGCATCCAAAAAGGCATTTAAAGCAATTGTTCCTCTTTTTGCACCTTAGATAAATATTGCTTTTAATTTGTAAAGCTAATTTAAAAGCTTGAACATTTTAGCATTTATATGTGATTTTTCTTCTACTGTAAAATGGTGCTAGTTTCTTTTTTGTATATTTTGCATATTTGTAGCCAAATTTCTCTATAAGTCTGCCTGCATTTTGTTGTGCTAAACATTTATTGAGTATTGTTGTGTTAAAAACCACACATTCACTGTAAAATATATATCAGAGTTCTATTTTTTTTTTTTTTTTCAAAAAAAAAAAAAATCATCAGTGTTAAATGTGGCAAACTGTGTTGTATTGTAGTAACAGTAGGAGTTTTTCTACTTTAAGTTGAACGTGTTCTTAATGAATCGGGTACATTATTTTGCGGAATAATGCAATGATGTTATTGTTGTCAGTGTTGTTTTGTGTAGTATATTTCAAATAAATTGTTTTTCTACTTTTTTCATTATGCTAATGTCAGATTTTCGTTTATTTTGCGTCAGTACACCAATGCAAGGTGTCGCCAAGTCAATGTATAAAACATACATTAAAACAATTATTTGGGTAATAATTTATTTATTTTTTTTTAAAGTTGACCTTAAACATTTTGTATATCAAACTGAAAATGCACAAGCTGTACTGAAAGAAAAACTCATATTAAGATGTGACTGCCCTCTACTGTTCATTTGTAAACAATGGAGGTTTATATTTAGCAGCACCTGTCTCTAGTGCCTATTTGCTGAAACTTCAGGTCATTTGATCTGTCTTTTCTTCTCAGATATTTGCATGTGTGTTTACATTTTACAGTAAAGCTCGAGATAACGAAAATACGGAAACTGGGATTTCGAAACATAATCCAGCAAAAACGTGTAATCCAGTGTTAGCCTAATTGCTTATGTAGGATTTACCACATCAGTTCTCACATCATTTTCACATTTGGTAAGCAAATGGTTTGCTGTGAATTAAGTAGAGTCGAGAGTACAACTCTATGCTGAAGAAATCAACAAACAGAAAAAAAAATATTTTAACACCTCACAGGTGAACACACAGGAGAGATGCATATGGCCTGTATACTAAATAGAGTCTGTAGAGTCCCTTCAGAATGCGGTCACGCAAGGGCGTTCCCAAAGCGAATCTCGACGCAGCTCGAGTTCCTGAAGGGGAACGGATTTGGAGAAATTTAGCATTACATCACTTCGCTCACCAATGGATCCTTTGCAGCGACGGGTGCTGTCAGACCAAACAGCTGATAAAAACATTACAATAATCCACAAGTAATCCACACAACTTCAGTCTATCAATTAATCTCTTAAAGTAAAAAGCTGTGTATTTGTAGAAACGAATCCATCATACAACATTTTTAATGTCAGACCATTGCTAAAATATGCAATATTGCTTTCTACAGTGAAAAAATTTGTCTTTTTTGAATCAGAAGAAAAATGCACAGATTAAGGACCGTTTACAAGCAAAAACACTCCAAAAGCATTTTAAACAAATATGTTGATAATTTTTGATGTCAGAGGATAACAGGGAACTTTTTCACTAGAGGATGTGTTATTATGGATTTTGTTTCTTACAAACACGCAGCTTTTCACAAGACATTAATTGATGGATTGAAGTCGTGTGGATTATTGCGATGTTTCACCGCAGACGATCCACTGGTGGGCAAGTGATGTAATGCTAAATTTCTCTAAATCTGTTCTGATGAAGAAACAAGCTCATCTACATCTTGGATGGCCTAAGCGGACATTTTTGAGGTTAAATTTTAATTTAACTATTCTTTTTAGTTTACAAGTCTTTGGACATTTTAGGGAAAAATCTGAGACAATACTAATGTTGAGGGCTCCATTAAGCTATAAACCTGTGAGCAATAAAAATCTCTTTATGTTATTCACAATACAGCATTTTAGAATCATATTTCTTAGAAAATTATCCTAAAGATTGAAAGTCAGAGACTATGTAGATTACCTGTAATGATGATGTTTTAAGGGAATTTAAGTTGTAGCGGTTGTAGTTCCTCCCTAGACTACTTAATTAAAATGAGTTCATGTAGATTCAAAATGAAGATAGAGATGGAAGGTGCTGGAGGGATAAACTGTCAAGGGATTGGCTATATATGTGTAAGCTCTTGTGCTG